GAGAACCACTGTACTAGACCATTAATATAGTATTTATTGTTCATTACTCATGCAATACTTATTTTGAAATTTTGTGCTTTTAATAATTATTTTAAGTTATGAAACAAGTCTTTATATACTAAGGTGAGTTAACTAGGAAGTGTATTAAAGAAATTTTACAGCAATTAGTTGTTTCTACGATATTTGAAGAGTTCATTATATACGTATTATAATGATATAGTTATAAATCTAACCTACCATATTTATAATTAAGTCGAATATTTGATATTATGTGTTTTAGCTTACACAGATTAAACTTATATTGTACACTCTTTATTATACAGACTTTTTTACTATTATCAGTGTTTTTACTTTTTTATTTTTTACATCTATAATCTTTATGCCGTACTTATTATATTTTTTTAAAAATCATAAGTAAAAACCCAATACATTATATGTGAACAAAAGATTATATATTTATTATGTTGAAGAAAAGAAAATATAGGTAAGTTAATTTATATTTTTTAGCTTATAAATTGTAAATTATAATTAAATGCAGCTATTATTGAATTTAGTTATTTTTATATAGCATTATAGCTATATAGGAGACTATTGAAATGTGTTTTTGTGGATATACCAACCATAAGAACATTAAAGAACATAAAGTTGAACATTATTTAGTGATTAATGATATTATATTTTTGATTTAGTTTGATTGATTGGTAATAATTATGTTACTAACATGGATTTGTTTTAAAATCATTCAAAATTCATACTTCACGGTTCACGATTTATTTATTTTTCTACATTAGGTAATTGAAATAGTTTTATTTCCGTGGTTCACTTTATATATAATAATGGTTCTGAAAATGAAACTAAATTGAACGGTTTTTTTTTTTGTTTAATTTTTAAAATTATTTATATGAAATATCTTATATTGTATAATACATTATGGTTTTATAACTTTTAAATTATGTACTTAAGAAATATTGGAAGTGTATCAGAGTGAAATTTATTTTTGTAAATGTTATAATTATTATGATTATAATAAAACCTATTATAAGTGCAAAATAAATTTATTTTGATTTATATTGATGTCAACCATCAAGAACTTTCAATTAAATAACTAATTATATATAATTTTACATTATGCAAATAAAGCTCAAATATTATAGGAATATTATGTATGTTTATATTTTTAATCCCTATTCAATTTTTTATTAATTGACAAAAATAAATAAATAACTAAAAATTATGAATATTTTCTAGTGTAATTAATAATTATGTTCTATAGTCAATTTGCTTTCCCACTACTTCATTAGTCTCAGCTTATAGTTTTCAAAACGTTTGCATGAACTTTATAAACATTCTAACAGCAATTTTATTTTATGCTTGTGGGCAATTCACATGTTTCAGGAATTTCAGTACAACGATATAGTGACGGAATGTTCTACTGTCCAAGACAATGTTCTCGGAAATACAAATACAAAAAAGGTTTAGTACGACATCTAAAGTATGAATGTGGTATTGAGCCACAATTCAAATGCCTCATATGTGGTAAAACCTATAAACAACCAGAAACATTTAAGATGCATTTAATGTCCATACATGGCATTGATAAGAGTTTTAAACGACTTAAGTAAGTAGTATAAATAAATTGGTGAATTGACACTTTAAAAATTACATTGTAGCTAAAGAAGTATAACATTCTTGAACAAATTGTATGTATTATTTGTTATAAATATTATTACATTTTTAAAATTGGTTATGGACAAATCTAGGTTTTTCTGTGTTATTATATAGTTCAAGTTCAAAAAGATCTCATTTTCTTATATTTGTTTAATTTTCTATAAAATGTGAAAAAATATTTGCCACTCGAAAATTAATAGTTATGTAAAGTATTTAATTATTTTTATAGTAAACAAAATTTTGGTTAAATAGTTTGTACAATTATTTATGTCAATTACTATTTTATTATTTTACACATTGTAATAGTTGTATATGACATACAACTTAAATTTTAGGTCATAACTCAAAGGCTGATTCCTTATAGTCTAGAATTATGACTAATAATTAAATAAATTGTTTCTCATTTGTCACTGGTTAATAAATTGATAAACCCCATCCCATGCATATTTTAGTATGTCAAATAATTAGTCTATAGAATTACCTTATTTATTGAACAACTTATGTATATGCACAATTGTATTGCATTAAACAGCATACACTACGAAATATTATCTTTATAGACCATGATAGTAAAAATACTATTGGCATATATTACTATATTAGGTATCAAAAAAATTATTTTACTTTCTAATCATCATATAAAAAAATCAAATTAATTAATAAATAATGTCTATCTTAAGAAATACTTGTTATTGTATTTTCAGAATATAATGTGCTCAAAAAAGCATTAAAATTTATATTTAGATAAAATATATATCACTTAAATAATAGAAGAAAAATAAAAAAATTATTTTTATCATTTTTTTATAACAATATTTATATTTTAAATTTTATTATAATTATAATTTTAAACTATAAGTATGTATGATTTAATAAAAAAAATCACTTATTAACTTTTTTATTGTATTTATATATTTTGTATACTTATTAAAAATATTGTTTTTACTGGATTGTGTTTCAAATTATTAATTTGTTTCTATAGTATAAGGTATCATGTAATAATGTTTGTATTATTTTACTTATTATTATTATATTATTTTTTAGTGCAGTAAACCTAATTAATGCAGTCATTTAAACAAAAGTTCAGCGTTAACATGATTCATTGTCAATGTTATAGTTAAAAACAATTATTTTAGTCATATTGTAATCATAACTATATGATTGTTGCAGTTTGTATTATTGTAAAATATCAATGACTAAAAGTTTGAGTATCTTACAATCATTAAATTAGTCTTAAAATTGCTTAAAAAACAGTTTTTATATATTTGATATGTTAATTTTTTTATTGTGTGTAAAAAAATATATAAATATACAATTTTTATATTTGATATTATTAGTGCTCAGATTACTCATTAAACTTTGTGTTTATTGTAATATTATATTAATATTAATATTAATAACATATCCTGAAAATTTGTATTATAATATAACAAAATAAAAACAAAAATATTAAAATGTATAAAATAACTTGTGATTTATAATATGCTAGTAATAAAAAATATATAATACTATACCTTTTTTATATGTATAAATGAATTATGTATTAAGTATACATTCTATGGAAGTTCAAACTTAAATGTTTATGTCATATATCACAATGGGCTTATAAGAAAATCTTATTAATGAATTATATATATTTTACTATTAATAATAAATGTATAAAATAGAAATGTGTATATTTTGCTATAAATTAATATAATATATTTATTTATAGTTTTTAATGTTAATTTCACCATTTAAAAAAAACTTTGAATCGTCGATAATATAAAATTAAATGTACTATTTGAATTGTAAAATGTTTCTGACCCTTTAAAAATACAATATAATAATTACCTATATTAATTAAAATAACAAAAAATTAAAAATTAAAAATTAAATATTATTTATTGAACATTACCATATCATAATTATAAAAGATTATCACATATCATTAAGTAAAAATTATATAATCAATATTATTTATTAATGAAAAATACTATCAATATAACTTGATTCTGTATAATAAAAGTACTGTAAAATTAGTTGTTTAATTGTTCAACATATTAGATTGAAGAAACAGTCATGAAAGTACAAATAAAAACAGTTTTAAGTACCTATCTAATAACTTAAAGAATATATCTATATATAAGTTTTATATATATAGTATTAAGTTATAAGGTACTTATACTTTTAATTATATTAATTATTATATTTATTTTACTTCTAGATAAACCAGTTTACTTAGCACAAAAATGAACAGTAATTGCAGTTAAACATAATTCAATTTTTAATGTTAAATAAAAACATTTGATGATGTTAATATGAATGAATATGCATTTATCGTGGAAAATGGCAGTGATCATTGAAAAAGTTTGTTGTATTTGATATGACATTTTTCAAATGGTATGTAACTCAACCAGGATTAAAATTTTACACAAGTTTATAAATTATGTTATTCTAACAATTTTAGTAATTTCATATGTTAGTGTGATAAATAATAAATATATATTTTGTATGAATACATAATATATTACCTAATTATCATCAGTATATAATTAAAAAAAAAATTAATCTACTTTATTTTTCTAAACACATTTCAATATTAAGAGACAGTTGTAATTTGAATTTGAAGAACATTTAAATTATATTTAATATGTGTAAATAAATAACTAATGCTTAGTTTCAAAAAAATAGTATACCTAAATTACTTTATAACAGAGCTTTATTTTTATTTGTTTGCATTTATGGGAGCTTTATTGTTGCTTGTTGCTATCAGTATAAAATTATAGTTGATAGACATGTTTTTTTGTTTGTTATATTATTATAGGTACTCTTTCGGTTGATGGCGAGGAAGATATTCATTGCCCTAACAAATGTGGCCGTAAGTATAAGCACAAAGGTAGTGTGGCTAGACACTTGAAGTATGAATGCGGAGTGAATCCTAAATTCCAATGCGTTATTTGTCGTAAGCCTTTCAAGCAACGTATCAATCACAAGATACATATGATTAGAATACATAACTGTGTTATGTAGTAACAGTATATAATACACATTGTTTATTTATAATTATTAACCATTGAATATTTATTATATATTTAAAAATATTTAAATTATTGTTTTGCCATAAAATAAACTTTATCCTATTATTATGCTGAGTTAATATTTTATTAAAATTAAATGTTATGAAATATTTTTGTAAATAAATTTACCTTATAATCTTCACTTTCTAACTATCTTGTAAATAACTGTAAGTTATAATGCAGTTTAATGTAAATATTCCGTGCTTCTAACGTAATGGCTGAATAGTTTAATTATTTGTTTAACAATATTTAATTTTAATCTTTTTTTCACAGAAATTCGCATATTAAGTAGTGTATCATTGGTCAACACTATTGAAGAAGTAATTATATGCCCTCAAAATTGCGGCAGAAGCTATAAAAATATATCTTGTCTAAACAAACATTTAAAATATGAATGCAATAAAGCACCAAAATTTAAGTGCATTTTCTGCAATAAAAGGTCTAAGCGGCCCGATAATTTAAGAACGCATATGCAATTAGTGCATCATTATTTTAAAAAAATAACACTATATGATTGTAGCTCTGAAGATCCTGATGTATGAAATCTAAAATGTACGTAATGATTAGTTTTTATCAGTTTAAAATATTGTCTAATTTTAATCATAGGCGTGCGCACATGGGGTTGTCTAAGGCCCTATTTCTTAAATAAAAACTTCAATGAATTGGTTAGTTTTTGATATTTTTTCGTTGCGAGGGTGTTCTAAACGTGAATAGTTTTATTACATTAGGTTTTTAGTTTTTGAAGTTTTACTTAGAACTAGTTCTACAAATATAAAAACCGAATATCCAAAAGCTTATGTTAAATTAGCAATATTAAAAATGTCTAACTATCCAAAGTAACAAAAATTTTGTTTTTCTATTGAAAAAGGTCTTGCTATGTTGTCATTCATGGACAATATGAAAAATGTCTCAAAAACATAGTATGTTATCACTTATGTATTGAGTTAATTTTTTATTCATTTTCACATAACTTTGTTTAACTATACATACACTTATTTTTATCTATATAGAGTTTTGACTCAATTTTAGTAAAAACTGTTACAATTTAAAAAAATTGGCTGTACTAAATGATTTTTAAAATTCTTGTTTCCTAATTTATTTTGTGCACACCTGGGAACCTAAAGCCTGCAAACGCCTATGATTTGATCTTCTGCATAGGAGATTATAAGATAAGTAATATAAGCATTATTTTCAGCAAGTCAGTGAATCAAATGAGCTGGGACGTGTTGGGAATGTGCTCTCTCTAGTGTCAGCATATTTTGTATAGATATTTTGTACACAGGCATTGATGTACTTACGTCTTGTTTTTGTTTGATTATTTATGTTAATAATTTTTTTTTTTTGTGGTCCCATTTGTTATTATATTCAATTTATGATACTATATCATGCTCATTGTTTTGGTACTTTTGATTGAAGGCATATAAGGAAAAAATATAAAGAGTTTGCCCTAAAGGTTCACCTTACATCATTCTATTTATTTTTTATATTTAGAAATTGTATTCATATTTTACACTTGAAAATAAAATTGACATGCATAACTACTTAACCAAATCTTCTTTTTATACTCCAATTTCTTAGCTTAGCTTGAAAGAAACAATATAAATGAACTAGGTATATTAGATTTGAAATAGGTATTTTTTTTCTGTTATCAAATTGTATAGACAAATTAACACATAGTCTTAAATCAATAGAACACATTTGAAATTCTGCCTGCAATTTACTAAAATAATGGTGCTTAGTTAATGATAGGTATATTTAAATAATGTATTGGTTATTTTTTAACTATTTATTTATGTTTTGGATGACATTTATTTTTTAGAAGATTACATAGAAAAATCTTATTTGTTTTAGTGCGTGTAAACTGTTTTATGTGCAACAATTGCGGTCGAAGTTATAAATATAAGCGTAATTTATATGCACACCAGAAATTTGAGTGTGGAGTTCAACCAAAATTTTATTGTGATATTTGTTTTAAAAAATTTGCCCACAGAGGAAATCTAAGGAGTCATTTAATTATGGTTCATAAAATAGTTTAACAAAAATAACAATTACAATGCTGTACTTTAAAACTATATAACTGAATAAACCGAACCAAACCAAACCTGAACCCTTTTTTTTTTATGTAACTATCATACTTTTTGTAGCATATAATTTGTGCTACCAACATAATGCCTGAAGAGTTTATTTATTTGTAAACTATCTTGCAAATAAAATAATTATAATAATACATTTTTTTTTCAGGTTTATACGATTATGATACAACAACATTGTTAAATAACTCTGAAGATAATTACATATGCCCTCAAAATTGTGGTAAAGCCTACAAATACTATTCCAGCCTTTACAAACATTTAAAATACGAATGCAATAAAACACCGCAGTTGAAGTGTCTATTTTGTGATAAAATGGTTAAGCGGCCTGATAATTTAAAAAATCATATGCTGATAGTACACAAATATATTCCAAGGAGTAAAAATAATACTTAATATACTTAAGTTAGTTGATGAATCTTCAGATGAGTAATATTTTTAAAGATTTTTAAGTATGAAAATAAAAAAAAATTGAATGATTACTAAGTAATAGTTAGGTTATATCAATTTAAGCTTTTTTATTACAATTAATAATAATTATTAATTAAGTAATTAATAAATAGTATACATTATGGCGTGCGGTTTTAACACTGAATGAATATTTAAGTGTGTAATTATTCTGTCTGTATTAAAACAATTAATTATTTTATTATGAAATAAAGTTATATTTATTTTTGTGTGTACTTATAACTTTTAACTTCAATAATATTACTGTCTAATAATAAAATATATAATTGTAAATATTATTAGGTTCTTACTTCTCAAAAATTTATATATTTCTCTTGAAAATAATCTTGGAACACAGCTGACCATTAAAAATGTTTATCTTAGATTAGCTGGTAAAAGTATATGTTTATAGTTTATTCTTAATTTCCTGTTATGACACATGACAAATTTATTATTTACATATTACATTTATTCCTACATTACATATTTGAAAGTTCATTGAATTATTTATGTTAAATGTTTGATAATCCTATAAAAATTATAAGTTTCAAACGTTTTCGGTTTTCTTAATGTTTATATACTTTATAAATTGAAAACATTTTAATAGTTTCACTTAAAGATAGTAAAAGCACACACAATATTCTAAAGTTATGATGCTTTATTATGTACTCAAATTGAATACAATAATTTATATTTAACAAGTGCTTGGATTATTTTTAGATTTGGGGTGTATAAACATTTAAATGATTACATAGAAAATAATGTTATTTGTTTTAGTGCCTGCTAACAGTTTTATGTGCTACAATTGCGGCCGAAGTTATAAATATAAGCGTAATTTATTTGCTCACAAGAAATTTGAATGTGGAGTTCAACCAAAATTTAGTTGTGATATTTGTTTTAAAAAATTTGCCCATAGAGGAACTCTACGGAATCATTTGGTTGTGATTCATAAAATTGTATAAACAGTATAACAATTGAAAGAGTATTTATTTGAAATTTAACCTGTCTAACTGGTTACTAATTAAATTAAACCTTAACCCTTTTATTTATATTTATATTAAACTGTATAACTCAATAAACCTCAATAATTCAAGTAATTGACGAATAATATAAACTATATAAATTATGTGTCCTTCAATATTAATTATTGTTATCAACCATGTGCATTGAATTTTGAATCCTGAATAATTATATTATTTGTAAACTATCTTGAAACCATCACAATATTTTTTGTTCTTTTACATATTGTATACACATATTAAATAAATGATTTTTTAATATTCATTTTATACTTGTTTATACATTCTATATTATTTGAAAGTTTAATGATGTTATTCTTTAATGTTATATATTCCTTTAAAAATCTTTATGATGAATTAACTTGATAAACTATCAGTCAAATGCATTTTTATTACTCAAAGCATACTTTAACCTAGAAATATCAAATATTCTATGTGACTATAATATATTTTGAAGCATATGTTTTTTCCAAAATGCCCGAAGAGTTTATTTAAATATTATAATGAATAAGAAGTATGCTTAATAACAATACATGTTTTTTAAAGGGCAATGTATAATTTATTTGTGCAACCAACAATAAAGTCTAGGTGATTGTCAGTATATGTTAAGTCTTAAACCATGAAATATTCCAAAAACACAAGGCAATTCACATGCTCCAACTAGGATGAAAACGTTAGAAATTAAAATCAAAATATTTTTATATAGGTAATAATAATAATGATAGTAATAATTTTATTTATGAAAATAATATTCCAATTACATTTTTGTCATATATGTGTCTTATAAAATGTTGTTTTAAAAGTGTTTCAAAATATCAAATATTTTTCCTTCATTATCTGGAATTCAGAAAAAGTGTTAATGAATACAAATCTTTTGACAAAATGTAAATCAGACTTCAGGTAGAATTTGAAAAAATAGTTTACATTTAGCTAGCATTGTCCACTAGTGAATTATAAGGTTTTGTTTTAAGCAATTTTAAGAATTATTTGAAATATTTCAGAACTTTAAAGTGATTCTTTGTGTTTGTTCTCTCACACTAAAGCTCATCAATGTATAAACATAGATATTCCATATTTAATAAATTTCTAATTTTCCAAATGTTCTGTTCCAAGAGTCTTATCAAACATTTAAAATATGAATGCCATAATTCACCTCAATTGAAGTATTTATTCTGTGATCAAATTGTCAAGCAGTACACTGGGACATTTGCCTATAAAAATACACAAAATACTAATGCATGTCAAGGAATATAAACAATACTTTATTAACCTAATAGTAAAGTCCTATATCAATCTGAATTACATATTATATCAATTGAATGACTTAATAATTCAATTATTTTAATATTAATATTGTTTTAACCTTGAAACCATCACAATATTAATCATTTTTTTCAAATATATTGTAAACGCCTATAATACTCGTATGTACAATTTTTATAGTTATTGGTGTATTTATTTTTATTTCCTACATTGTTTCAAAGTTAATTTATGTTCTTCTTCTCGAGTGTTTGATGAACTTTTTTATTTGTTTGTTGAATTAACAAATAGTCTTTTGTAATATTATGTTTTTTTTTTAGTTAAATATTATTAAGAGTTTTTATAACCTTTATGACAATACCAAAATATCATAATTACTTATAATTTATTAATTATTATTCATTCTACATATATATAGAAATATAATTTTTGTTTATTAATGGTTTGGGAATATTTTTGGAGTAGTTTTGGAGTAGGAGTAAAAAGATTGTATAATATTATTTGTTTTAGTTGCTGCTAACTGTTTTGTGTGTAACAATTGCTGTCGAAGTTATAAATATAAGCGTGGTTTATATAATCACCAGAAGTTTGAATGTGGAGTTCAACCAAAATTTAGTTGTGATCTGTGTTTTAAAAAATTTTCTCAAAGAGGAAATCTACGAAGTCATTTGGTCATGATTCATAAAATAGTATAACTAGAATAACAGTTAAAAGAGTATATGTAAACTTCATTACTGAATAAACTGAACCAAATATTAACCTTATTGTTTTTTATATAACTATAATTCATTTTGAAGCATATACTTTGTACTACCATCATAATACCCGAAGAGTTTATTTATTTGTAAGCTATCCTTAAAATAAATCCATTACCAGTGGCGCTGAAGTACAGAAAAATCACCATGGCCAACATCAAATTTTAATAGTACCCCCTACCCACCTACCAATTAGTGTATAGATAATTCGCTAAGGCACTCGCCATACTTTGATATAGGCATCATCACCACTGGCCACTACCGTATCTTATACATACATTTTTAAAGCGAATACTTTATAACCGTTAGCAAACTATTAAACCCCCACTATCATCTTAGTTTTTTTTCTTTTATAACTGACAGGAGAAGAGGCTCTGTGTGAACAATAGTTTACCATGTTATAGTTTTAGGTATACATCTATCATATTTTATTTAGGAATTTTGAGGTGATGATGCAATTGATTATTGTTTTAATTGAATTGGGATGAAGTTTATGAGCTGAATGTGATTGGTTGCATTTTCATAAGTTTTGATTAAAAAGAACCAAAAAAAAAAACTGTTAGAACAATGTATAATTAATATTTTGTATTTGTTATTAAAATTGTATATCACATTATATGAATCTTAAATTTTACTAATGACTGGATAGTTGAATTAATTTTAATCTATCTTGATACCATCACCATATTAATTCATTTTTGTTTCAAACATTTTACACATAATTTTTAACTATTAACAATATTCTTATTATTTGAAAGTTCAGTGATATTTTCTCATTTTGTTTAAGGTATCTTTTTAATGTTTGTTGAACTAACTTAAACCTTGGTAATTGATTTTGATTGATGGAACACAATTGAAATTTCACACAAAATTTTCTTTACTAAGTCTTTACCTAAGCTTTAGGTTTAATCACAGATTATTATTATTATATAATCTGTGGCATAAATAGAATATTTTGTAAAATAATTTGTCATTTCAAATTCTTTGATTATTTTTAGAATTGTAGAATACTTACATTTAAAGAGATTACATAGATTATAATGTTGTTTGTTTTAGTGCCAGTAAACAATTTTATTTGAGATAACAATTGCGGTCGAAGCTATAAATATAAGGGTAGTTTGCTTAATCTACAGAAATTTGAATGCGGAGTACAACCAACATTTAGTTGCAATGTTTGTGTAAAATAAATTGCACACAAAGGAAGCGTGCGGAAACATATGATGTTTATTCATAATATATTGATGCACTTTATCAATTAAAATACTATAATTTGA